TAACTCTGCGGATGTTCCTTAGGGACGTAGGTGACGTCCAAAATTAAAATATTCGTTAAAATTGAAGTTTTTAGCCAATCTTTATGAGACTGGTTTTAAAATGTGCGCCAATGTCTTTCCATTCTATTGCAAACTGAGATGAAAATTGAGTTAAACTTGAAAAGGGTAAATACATTTGTGAGCAGGTGTTGCGGGTGTGCCAATGGGTGCTCTCTCACGGGTAACGCTTCACCGACTTTTGGCTTTGCTGCGGGAGGGAGGCACTGGGCTTTTGGACCTTGTATGCATATATTCCTGTAGGGAATTCTACTGCGAACAAATTGATAACAAAATAAAAGACAAAGCACGAGAATTGGGGTGACAAAAGTGAAAAGAGTATACACGTTTTATTGCTCTTGCGCACTCACGGGTAACGCTCGGCTGATTTCTGGGTTTGGTGCGGGTGGCACGCCGGACTTTTGGACCTTATATGCATATACAGTGGCACATGGGCTTACGAATTTAATCTGTTCCCAGAGACGGCTCGGAAGCCAAATATTCGTAAACTGAAGCGAATTTCCCCATAAGAAATAATGTAAATTGAATTAATCTGCTCCAGACTCCCCCCATAATTATCTTAGAGGTAAATTTTATACCTAATTCACCCAAATCTTCAGTACTAAAGTATGTACAAGTTATTACTTACCTTTATTGATGACTGTTGTTAGCGTATGGAAGATCGTGAGGAGGGGGGGGGGGGAGAGGAGTCCCCCTTCCATTATAACATCAGGCACTGATGACGTTTCCGGGGTGCTCTCTCGCCTACATTTTGCAGGCATACCACTAGGAATTGGTTGTGGCTAATTGCTTGCTTGTCTTGCTAAGAATCTAACATTTGTTTTTCTTCCCTACATTTTAACATTTGTCTGTAGTTAGACATCACATTGTCATTAATAAGGTCAATGCAACGGCCTGCTAAAGCTTTATCTGGGAGAGTCTTTTCAGGAAAACTGCAGTTCTTCCCATGCTGCACACATTTCCTTAATTAGTGAGGAAGAGACATCCTCTACTGCCTCCTCCTGTCCTGAAAATTTGTTGTACTGCCTAGCAAGTTCAACAACCCGTGTACCATTTTCATGTTTACAAATGATCTCTCTCTTTTTTTTTTTTTCCTCTATGGTTATTCTCGCATGTGTTTTCTTGGCTTGAACCTTATTACTGGCTTTCTTGGGACCCATGGTGAGATATATAATAACTTTTATATTCAAATACCCAAAAAATCTTTACAGAGAATTCAGGCGCTATTGTCACTAGGCGGGAGGCACTGGTAAACTGAGACGCGATTGCCGTGCCACCATGCACTAGGTCGGCCATAAACGTATCGACAAACTTTGTTTCCCGAGGCAAAGCTTGTAACCCAATTTGGATTTTCCGAAGAAATTGGGCTCATAACACGAAATGTTCGTAAATAGGGGAATTTGTAAGCCGAGGTGTCGCTGTACTCCTGTAGGGAATTCTATTGTGAACATTTTGATACCAAAGTGAGCAATGTACAATGAAAATTGGGGTGATAAAACTGAAGAGAGTACAGTATACACATTTCAGTGTTGCCGCGCTCTCATGGGTCACACCCGGGCCACCTTTGGGTAGTTTGACACGCACACGCCCAGAACGCGAAAGTGTTCAAAGTATCATTGTTGGCATGGCATCTTTTGTTTGGAAGGTTCTTGTTATACACCTGTTATTATTCTAACAGTTCGGACAGCAACATTGTTGTGTTCTTTAAAGTGAGGTCTTCTGACATGATTACTCCTAGATCCTTTACATTGCTTTTTCTTTCAGTAGTGTATTTTAAATGTGGTTTGTGCTTTGATATTTACATTTTTTTTACATAGCACAGTAATTAGAACTTGACCTCATTAAAAATTATATTCCCAAAGTGCCCCAAAGCATATCATCAATGGTGGATACTAGACTGCCCAACATAATAACTGTCTTTAGAAATTTGTGTAAGGAATCATTCTGAACCTTGTATACCACAAATGTCACACCAATTCTGGAGTATGCAGCTTTAGTCTAGAGTCCAAATCTAGTTAAGCACAAGACAGTTAGTATGCCACCAGACTAGTCCCAGAGTTGAGAGGTATGAGTTACGAGGAAAGGCTGCTGGAATTAAACCTCGCATCACTGGAAGACAGAAGAGTTATGGTAGACATGATCACGTACAAAATTCTCAGAGGAATTAACAGGGTGTACAAAGACAAAATATTTAGCATGGGGTGGAACATATTCGAAGTTCTAGATGAGCATGAGCAATAGACCTGTGCAGCCAATCTCAAATCAGAATGCAAAGGCCAAGCCCAGCATTTGTTCTGCAAGCCAAGACCTTGCAGAACAATGCTGGGAAGAATAACTACATAATGCAGATTTAAACCAATGCTTCGAGAAAATAGGCACTGTAGCACTAGAAATATGTAGAAAGCATATATTGTACCACTAAGAAATTATACTAGGGGTGGAATAATGTCGCACACTAACAGCTCCATTCAGAACTGGAGAAATTGCTGACCTAGAGTGTGTGCATAGATCCTTTATCGCTAGAATCTACTCTTTATAAGTCATCTTGATTATTGAGACTGATTAAAGTTCTAAATCTGTATTCTTTAGAGTGCAGGCAAGAGAGATAAATAATAATCTACATGTAGAAGATATTATACGGACTGGTTCCAAATTTGAACACAGAAATAGCATCACCTGAGACCAGTAGTCATGGCAGGATGTGCAATATTTGGAAAGCATTGGTGCAATAGGTACTCTGAGAGAGAACTCCGACATCAAAGGCCAAAGACTTTTCAACACTCCCACTACATAAAGGGCATAACTGGGCGGCCTCTCGCAGTGTTCAAGAAGGAACTCTACAAACACCTCTGAAGAATACCTGATCAACCTGGCTGCGATTCATGTCAGGCTGCTAGCAGCCACGTCCAATAGCCGGGTTGACCAGACAACCAACTGGGAGGCTTGGTCGGAGACTGGGTTGCGGGGGCCATTGATCCCAGTTAGCTACACAAGGTAGAAAGCCCTCCCCGGAGCAGATGCTGAGCGGGATGTTTTATCTGAAACCTAATGGGAGTAGATTACAATCGACTCAAACTGAAGCTAGCCATTTTTAAAGTTGCTGACCAATTACAAGCTGTCAACAGCCTTACCAGCCTGTGGATACCATGTATAAACATGCAGCCCATCCTCCAAACAAAGACTCCATGCACCTGCCAAACCCCCCGTTTATGAATTAAAACGGTTTCTTCATGACTCGCAACTGCTGACGTTCGAACACTTCCGGAACAAGTGCTCCACTGACAAATTTTGTTCGAACCACAGTGCTTTAAATACTTCTCCCACATATTACAAATAATTGCCAACAGACCCTAAACTTCTAACCTAACTTAACCTATGCCTACATATGCATAATATGCTAATATATTATAATATTAATTTATATTTGAGAAAATTAGTTTTTAATGAACAGCATGTTAAAATTTATGAATGTGTCTGTGGGGTCGACTGCTGGATGGAATGGACTTTAGTCAAGGATGGGGTTGAAACATGTGGTTTGAATGGAGATTTTAATGTAGCTCGGGGTGTAATGGGTGGTAGTGTCTGTGACAGTCTGGGACTTGATAGGATCCGGCAGTCTTATCAACTTGTGAAGCCCATGGTCTTAAGGTAAAGTGTGGTGTCTGATCATGTTTTCCATGTGTAAATTACTTACCATTGGCCAACAGGCCTAACATAGGAATAAGAGTCAGTATTACCAGCTTACACTCGGTTGTAAATAGAAAAGTATTTCAAATAATAGTAAATAATAATTCATTATTGAGGACAGGCAGCCAGGGCATATATAGAGATTCTCCCAAGGTTGAATTACTAACCCACCCCCCAAGGATGCAACCCACAACAAGTATACTAACTCCTAATACCTATTTGCTGCTAGATGAACAGGTCCATTAGGTGCACAATCATTTCTGTCCTTGAGGTTATCTTGAGATGATTTTGGGGCTTTAGTGTCCCCGCGGCCCGGTCCTCGACCAGGCCTCCACCCCCAGGAAGCGGCCCGTGACAGCTGGCTAACACCCAGGTACCTATTTTACTGCTAGGTAACAGGGGCATAGGGTGAAAGAAACTCTGCCCGTTGTTTCTCGCCGGCGCCCAGGATCGAACCCGGGACCACAGGATCACAAGTCCAGTGTGCTGTCCTCTCGGCCGACCGGTCCTGCCCAGGATTTGAACCTGGAATTCTTAATTGCGAGTCGAGAACAAATCCGACTGCTGCCAGGACATCCGACTAACTGTGATTTTATAAGGAAATACAGTACAGTATATCACAATTGTATGCAAGAGAGTTAGTGTTACAAATCGATTGTTACAATGGTGTTCGGAGTAGGGGGTGTGTGGGGGGGATGTTGTTAGGAGTTGGATGAAGGGGGTGTGATGGTGTGGGGAGTGTGGAATGTGTGGATGCGTTGGGAGCGGGTAGATGTTGGGAGTCTTTATGGGAGTAATGTTTCTGGTAAGAAAGCAATGTTAAGAGTGGCTCTAAAGTTCTCAGTGACCCACAAACTCACATGATTTTAGCAAGACCAGATTGTGTTTACCCTGTTAGTGGGAGTTAGTGGGAGTGTGTTAGTTTACCCTGGTCCATGGGTTAGTGATGGAAGAAGTGTGAAGAGGTGTTTACTCATTTGATAATTACAAATGGCCAACTCCTAAAACAGTATACACATATATTTTAATTGATTTATTCATGAAAATAGCTTTTCTCACTCTTGAAAAATGGCTAACTTTGAAAAGCAGGATGACTTTTGTCTTTCGAGATAAATAATATGCTTTTTTTTATGTCCCTTAATTTTTGGTTTTGAGAATTTTTAGTGGTTCAGGAATGCATCCTCCATATATAGCACTGCACCTTTGGGAAATCTCATTCGTCATTCTAAACAATTGCTACATGAACATGTTTTCAGAATGTAACCTGTTCATAGTTGGAGGACTGCCTGTATATTCTTCAAGCTCCTATCCAGTGAGAGCAGGTGGGTAGGTCTACTTCAGAATTTACATGGGGTCAGGCCCTGAAGTAAAACCCAAATAGGGACATTAGGTGCTGAGGCTGCTCACCAATAAACAAATGCCAAAGCCATTCATAGAGGCTAAGGCAGCTAGGAAGAGTGAAACTTTGCCATTGTAAATATGTACATATAGAACCATTGGCCCACCCTCAAGCAAAGATGACCCTGATCACCCCCAACCTCAAAGCTTCTCAGAGGAGTCATAGACCCATGCACTATTTTGGATGAGGCACCTTTCCCTAGAGGACGATATCCAGGAATGTTCTCTCAAATCCAGCTGGGGAGGCAGCCTTAGGGCAGAGGCAACACAAAAGGGCACTTATGATGGTAATCCTTAACACATGCAGCTTGAGGTGAAATGTTGCCCAGAGTGTACTCTGGCTAACAGGCAAGTAAACACGTGTGTAAGTAATAATACTAATAGAAGGCAATTGGGCCCTGCAGGACAAAGTCAAACATTACCCAATACTTCACTGAATATTAGCTGGGACTTGAAGAGCCAGGTGACAGATTGAACAGTACACTATGTAGCACTATGTGAATGATGTGTTTCACCACCTGAGCTACCAGCTCCCAGTAGTAGGGTGATGGGTGATGCTTGGGGCTAGCCTCACCAAAACTTGCATAGGGAATGGTCTGGGGGACAGGATGAATTTAGAGTAGGGCTAAGTGAAATGCTTAAAAAAATATTTCCACATATAAATACACATTTTCATGCAGTCTTTCATCGAATTGTGTGAAATAGTGAATTACAGTATGGCATGTACTTTGTGGGATATTACCCTTGTTATAACAAAATTAAGTTAATGAATAAATAAATAAAATACAAAAGGGACAGTTTAGCTGTTGTGGATGATTTCAAGACTGGCCTGTCTTGTGCTAAGCTTTTAGAAAGGCGATAAAGGGTTAGTTGCATGGACAGATGTTTGCTGCTTTCACTAGTCTGGAATGTAATCCCACATTAGCAATGTTTAATAAAAATGGTAATAAATATGAGTGCAGCAATTAAGTACTGGCTCTTTTATTATGAACATGGCCTAGTGTATTTATGATCTGGAAGGGGCCAGGTGCTCTTTTTAGTATTTTTTTTTCTTAATCTACTTGGTATATACGTACTCCACCTTTGTCTAAATGTTCAACATCGTAACAAAAACATAATAAGAAAATAATTTTTTTTCATTTTCAACAAATTTCAGACTACAAATATATACCGATTTCTTTTCTTTTCAGTATGTTATCAGAATATATGATGTTCATATTCTCTATAGTAAAAACTATTATTAAGTTTAATTTGCTGTTTAAAAGTTTGAAATTCAATAAACCCTTCCAATTACATACCAAATATTGGCAATTAGAAATTAAACTCCAAAAGTTGTGTTTATTGGAAAAATGTGCTATTTGCACATTGGAAAAATGTGCTAAAAAAAGAGATATTTTAGATTGAAGGAAGTTTTAAATAATATGTGGAAATGATGGGAATCAATTGGTAATTTACAAACATAATTGATATTGAAGTTATCAACAATAATTTTGGTTCTACTTTGTGAATTTTCTTGTAACTTACACATATTGCAAGGCATTTGTATTCGAATATGTAATAGTTCTAGGTCAGTACCTCTTGGATCAAAATGGTAACAATTATTTAAAAAAAAAGGAAAGTGAATTCCACATAATTACCTATGAATAAATACATATACTGTATACATAAATTATGTATACTATTAATTATAAAAAATTAAATATCAATTATTAATATTATTATATTAATATTAAAAAATATTAATTATAAAATAGATTGGCATTTACTTCAATACTGGTGCTTTACTCACTTTACTGGCACTGTTGCATCACATATTAGCACCCGTGTTATGATAGCACAATTTATTTGCATATTGTGTGTAATATTTGGGAGCTGGGATTTGCAAAACAAATATTAGGAACTTTATTGATGTCAGTGCCAGATACTACCTCTTTCTCAGCTGTAAATGGCTGGCTTGTATTCACTCTTACTGCTCGCTCACTCTGTTGTTTTTTGTATGTCATCATGAAAATGGCAGCAGTAAAACACCAGAGGAACGGTGGGAACAGCGCAAGATGCGATGAAGTGACTTGATACTGCACCACAGCTCCACCCTGTATGAATGATGATTCTCGTCTGGTGGTTCCCTCACACACCCTCCTCCTGGCTCAGGCCACAACATAGTTGCCAATGACCAAAAGAACAATTTTTATCAAGTTTTCTGATTTTTTTCCGCAAAATCCGATTGTTAAACTCCAGACGCTATGAGATTTTTACAAAAAATTTCTAGATTTTTTCAACTTTTGGTCAAAATATATCCAATTTAAAAACACCCGGCCCCATAAGATAAATTTAGCTTAAGTATTTATATAAATTTTGACATACAAATTCAAATACAGTGGAATCTCGACTTACGAATGCCCATACTTACAATTTTTTTGAATTACGACCCAAATTTCATCAGAAAATTCGACTCGACTTAAGACCTTTGCCTCGACTTGCAACTTTGTTGATACACGTATGAGTCAACCGAGTGTGTGGCGCGCTTCAGTTTACCAGTGTTTCTCGCTTAGTAACGATTGCGCTTGAATTCTTTGCCAAGAATTTCATTGTTTTTGTATTTTTATTTGTTTTTAAACATTAAAGTAATTATTATATATCATGCAATGGGTCCTAAGAAAGTCAGTAATAAAGTTCAACCTAAGAAAATAGTTGCGAGTAGAGGATGTCTCTTCCTCGTTAAGAAAATGTGTGAAATATGGGAAGAACTGCAAAGTTTTGTTGATAAAGCCCGCCCAGATAAAGCTGTAGCAGGCTGTTGCTTTGACCTTTTGAATAACAATGTGATGTCTCACTACAGGCAAGTGTTAAAATGTAGAGAAAAACAAGTGTTTTTAGACAGATTCTTAGTAAGACATGCAAGCAGTGACTCAAAACCAGGTCCTAGTGGTATGCCTGCAAAATGTAGGTGTATGTGTACCCCAGAAAAGCCATCACTTCCTGATGTTATAATGGAAGGGGACTCTCCTTCCAAAAAGTAGCACCTCTCCTCCCCCTCTCCTCCCATCCCCTCCCCCCCCCTCTCCTCCCATCCCTTCCCCCCCCCTCTCCTCCCATCCCCCCTCTCCTCCCTTCCCCCCCCTCTCCTCCCTTCCCCCCCCCTCTCCTCCCTTCCCCCCCCCCTCTCCTCCCTCCCCCCCCCCCCCTCTCCTCCCATCCCCCCCCCCCTCTCCTCCCTTCCCCCCCCCCTCTCCTCCCATCCCCCCCCCCTCTCCTCCCTTCCCCCCCCCTCTCCTCCCTTCCCCCCCCCCTCTCCTCCCTTCCCCCCCCCCCTCTCCTCCCCTCCCCCCCCCCCCCCCCCCTCTCCTCCCTTCCCCCCCCCCCCTCTCCTCCCTTCCCCCCCCCCTCCTCACTGTCTTCCATACACCAACAAAAGGCATCAATATAGGTAAGCTATAACTTGTGCATACAGTACTACAGTACAAACTATGTGTGTATTTTGAAGTTAATATTTTTGGGAGTGTGGAACGGATTAATTCAACTTACATTTTTTCTTGTGGGAAAATTCGTTTCGAGTTAGGAATTTTCAAGTTATAACCTGTCTCTGGGAACGGATTAAATTCGTAAATGGAGGTACCACTGTACAGTATTTAAATTACTGACTGGCTTACCAGTAAGTGGTAACCCCAAAACCACAAAAACAAGATAGGCTGACTTCGAAGCAACCACACGAGCGTCAAGCTGAACACAACAAACGGGCAAATGAACCCAAAGTAGCCACTGCTTGTGGAGCCTCATCACTACAAAAGTAAATTCAAAACATAGCACATATACTGGAATTAAAATAGACCAGTGAACCCATATGTCGCAGGCTAAGGAGTACAGGATGATACGCATACAACGCTTAATACATTGAGACAGGAAACTGGCCATTAGTTTTTAGCAAAACCTACTGGTAATCCTCAAACTCGCAGCCAGCGAGTGCAAATTCGGAGAGTCATATAATGAGCAGTACCAAAGACCCATGGGAATTAACAGGACCTGTCATACCAAGTATGACACCCAAGGTACGAGGGACACTCAGCAGCAGAGTTGACACTGAATGCAGCCTCAATAAATGCTCTGAAGGGTGTCAGTAGCTTACAATATGGACAAGCACATGAACCCAGTGTATCCTGCAATAGACTCTTAAGTGCCCTCAACCACAGAGTCATGCATAGAAGTCAATGAGCTGTTGCACTACCCTGGGCAAGGCTGTTGCCACAACAGTCTAGCCTCTCGGGTGAACTCATGAACTTGCCAGAGAAGTCACTGTCAGAGCAGGGGCAATGCTAAAAAAAAAGAGGGCTTAGGAAAGGGCTGCCCTAAACCCATGCTGCATACAGTGAATAGAACAAATCCCTGCTTCAAGTGAGGCTTGACTCGTATGCTCATGCAGTAAATACTGTACTAAAGTGAGAGGGAAAGACACTCAAGCCAATGGGCTCTTAGAGCAGTGTTCAAAAGAATGGCCTTCACTTATCTTGAAAAGGAGCAAAACTCACTACAGCCAGCAACTCTGGGCTGTCTGAATTCATAGACATCAGTAACAGGATAAGCAAAAATGGTGCGGAGCTTGAGTGCTCCTGGAGTGCTGCCTGTTAGTGGCCAATCATAACTAGGGGAGGTTAAGGTACTTTCTGAGTGAATCGTTTGCAGAGTTGTTTGGCTGTTTCAGTACTTAAGTTTACTTGAACCTTTACAGTTATCTGCAATGATTTGCATATTTCCTGGATGTATTCCTGGTGAAGGTGATCATAACAATCCCCCTTACTCCCTGTGTCTGTGAACGGGGATTCGGGTGCTAGCTCTAGTCCCTGGTAGGCCATACTGGACTCCTACGGCTAATGTGACTCAGTAGAGAGAAGCACCTCGGCAAGATAGCTTCAGGGAGCCACCAGGGCTCTACCAGAAAGAGGCATTTCATTACATTCAATGCTGGTAGTTTTCCCCCATTTTCGAAGTTGATCTCTGATTCCCAGCTCCCTATGTCTTGTCAAGTAAACCAGGTTCTGGATTTTGCTCCAGTAGGCTGAGTGGATCTCTGAGGCTAAAAAACTAGGGGTTCACCATAGTCTGTATTACTTGAAACTTTTGTTCCAGGTAGCGAATCTTTAACAACAACAACAACTCTGAGGCCTGGTGTTTTTAAACTAAGGCTTGGTGGATCCAAAGTTAGTTTGAGAAGCACCAGGAGCCCATGTGAAAAGCATGTTTTCATTGTATTCATTATTTTTACATCACTTGTCACCATCTTCTGGTACTTATATCATTACACAAGATAGTAAAGTCCCAATTATTGGAAACCAAATTATATACCAATCTTAATTAAAAGGAAAATCCAAATGTCCCTTGAATAGTCTTGATGTAATTCAAAGGAAAACCTAGTTTTCAGTTCACCTGGCCTAACATCTTAACACTTTGGCGTACCCCGCGCGCCACCCCTCAACTGTGCGATATGGGACCCAGGGTGTCACGGGAGCGTGCGTAAATTCTGAAAAGTGTATACTCTCCAACTTTGTCACCTTAATTCTCGTCCTACGAGATTAAATTTGGTATCATTGTGTTTGCAATAGAATTCTCTACAGCACTAAATGCATGTAAACTCCAAAAGCCCGGCTAATTACCCGCAGCAAACAGAAAAAGTGCGAACGAGTTACCCAGGAGCGCGCAAACTCGATAAAATGTTTTCACTATTTTCACTCTGGTCACCTCAATTTTTGTCTTAGGTCTTTCATTTTGGTCTCAATGGGTTCGCAATAGAATTCTCTAGAGGAACATTAGCATATAAAATAAAAAACCTGGTCACGCTCCAAGCGCCGACGAGTTGAAGACGGGCCACGCGTTAGCCGCGAGTGAGGGCTCAGACGCCTTCCAGCTACACTCCCAATTCCCGCCCTTTTCAAGCCTTTCTTTCGCAATTTTCTTCCTGGAAGAGCCTTGTTCATGATCACTATCCATTGTGGAGTAAATGTAGATAGTTTCTAAAGCCGCAGTAAGAAATATAGCCACGGAAAATAGCCGAAATGTTCACACGTCTGAGATGCGAGGGGAGGCGACATTGGTCACAACAGTGGAGCGAAAACAATGGGCCCACGGTGTGTGCCAAGCCGCCTGAGGGCCACGAGGCTCAACAAAGAAAATGGGAAGACATTGGCGCGCATTTTAAAACCAGTCCCAAAATAATCGGATAAAAACCTGATTTTTGGCGATTATTTAAAGTGGATAACGCAATGCTGCGTCATCCCCGGAATTACCGACAGTAAACGGATGACGCAATGCTGCGTCATGCCCGGGCGAAAGTGTTAAAAGTCACCAGCCTCCGGCCAGGAAATTGCTTCTCTTTCTCTGATCTGTCAGTACTTTCTTGGTTCCTGCTCTCAAGATCTTGCTAATTAGGTACATATCTACATGTATGGTCTCAGAATACTCACGCTGTAGCAACAACTCTTAGTAACTGTCTTTTGCCAACCCAAGAGTTGAGCACTTAGCCATTTAATTGTTTCAATTCCATAGCCATCTTGTGAAATGGACTAATATAACACCTTATGTTCTACTTGATTTCTTGATCTCTCTTCTGTCAAGAACCATTTGTAGACCATTTCCCTAATCTCTAGCTAATATTTTCTTCATGGGCAATTTTTGCTTTTGCATAAATCTTAAAAAATATATGAACTTGCTTGATACCTGCTTGATGGGGTTATGGGAGTAGTAGTTCTCCCCCAAGCCCGGCCTTACGCCAGGCTTGACTTGTGAGAGTTTGGTCCACCAGGCTATTGCTTGGAGTGGCCCACAGGCCCTCATACCCACCACAGCCCGGTTAGTCCGACACGTTTTTTTTGGAAAACAGTAGTTTTCTCTTGAAGATGTCCACGGTTGTTCTGGCTTTTCAAAATTTTCAAGAGATTTTCAAAATTGTATTGCAATACTATATGAACTAGCCATCCAGCCATGGAATTGTTGGCAAAAAATTAATTAACGAAATGTTTTCAGCTCCATGGTCACGACAAGGAACTCCAGATTGGGATGAGGGAGATGCATCTCTACCCCCTAGAACACGACGTTACAATGATGAACGACGTCGTGTGGCAGATGAAGAAGAAACGGTGCTAGATGCTGCTGAAACTGGTAGTGTTGGCAGTCTTGATCGAGGTCAGTGTCATAAAACTGCTTTTTGCTTTGTGATTAATATTTTTTTAAATTTTAATGAATAAAATGCTTCAGTTTTAATTATACATAAAATTGTAGGTATCATGATTCAAATTTGATCAAATTTTGATCTTATCTAACATAGTGCACAGTTACACTCCCAATAAGATTTCAACCTAGGTCAACGGAGAAGACGTTATTGTTAAACACGAGGCAAAATCTTACTGAATTGACCATACAAGTCATAAACACTCGTACTCTGCATAAGTTGAACAGAAAGAAGCAATGCTTAGTGGGCCAGCCAGAGACTTAGGGCCTGTGCAGGAATATCCCTGACAAAAAAAATGTTCTTTTGCACCTTGGTGCAAAATTCTTATCTCGAGCTATAAAATATCATCAATTTTTCTTTTGTGACACATCCAGGCTCTTTGTTAAAGAACAGTCCTTTTCTCAGTATTTCTGTATTCATTAATCAATGGGCAATCAAAAACATAATGGGTGAGGGCTAGATCTTAACATGCCACATAGTTTATACTCTGTTTCATTATTGTTAACACCTTTTCCATATTCCCAGTAATATTTGTACCCAAGCATGAGCCAAATGTGTACAAAGTCACTCCAAGCATTTTTCCTTTTACCATAAGTGAAATTGGTGTTTTGACTGGCATACATTTAGTGTTGCATGCCAGAGAGTCTGGCCTCACTCCCACCCACCTGACCCCCCCTTCACCCTCATCGTCCTACCACTTTAATCCACCTATCCCCCCTCTTCATCCACGTATCCCTCCCTCATCCACCTATCCCCCCCTCATCCACACCCACCTGCCTTCCCTCAGACCCACCTGCCCACCTCACCCATACCAATGTGCTCGCATCAATCATTCCCATCTGCTGGCCTCGCCCCCCCCCCCCAAACATTAACCTGGCCACCTAACCCATACCAGAGTGCTCACATCACTCACTCATATCCACCGGCCTACACCACCTACATTCTCTTATAATATGTCCATATTTTAATTTAAATATTTAGGGGGCAGAGGAATTTTCATTTTTGAAAATATTCATAGTATTGTTTGTATTGTGATATATGCCTGGCATAAAAAACAATGATTCCTCACGTAATCACTTACAATCAAAACCTATCTAATTTTATTAGTAAAACAGTGGTAATGATAATAGATAAATCGATTTGTTAACTTCACAGAGTCGGTAACAAGTGAAGGAAAGAGGCGTAGACGTCGACATCGCAAGTTTCGTCGCCGTGGTGGAGGTAGCGAAGCTGGTGATGGCGATGGCTGGGCCACTTCAGCCGATGAAGGCTGGAGTACGTCTGCTAATGAAGGCTGGGCTGGTGATGAAAACTGGAATGCTACTGGTGAAAGCTGGGACACATTGTCAGCCTCTGGAAGGGCTTCCAAGGAACGCACCCCAGGAGTTGATCATGTTGGGCGCCGTGGTAGAGGAAGAGGTCATCCAGATGGCCCTCCAAGTAGGGATGGAACACTACCCCGTAGGCGGCCTCCACGTCACGAAGGTACTCCGGCTCGGCAGTCTCCAGGGCGCCGCCCTCCACCTCAGCCCCGTAAGCCACCACCAGCAACTGTAAATGGCAACTAGAGTATGGGGTGATTACATAGCTTAAGGGATGGCCTCCCTCCCTCCCCATCATGTGATATTTACAATTAGGTAGACTAGGCAGTTCCATGCCTATCACTCCAATTGTATTTATATTGCTGGTGAAGTAAAACAAGGTCCTTGCTGAAGTAAACCACCACTGACATTGATAATGACAAACTGGACATAAATTGTTGCCTTTCTTGTTCTATTTTTAGAAGGACATTGAAGTTGACCTCCCCATTGTGATAACATATTCAGATGAACTACACATTTGTAAAGATAGGACTACATTACATCCTACTTTATATTGAGAACCATACAGGATCTTGGCTATAAATGAAACTGAGTTGATAAAAGCAGAGCAAATGAAATAAGGTATTTTGGTGGCATACTGCAATATCCATTTTTTTTTTAATAATAATAACAAAGAACATTCATTACATGTTTAAACCATTTTATTAATTGACCAAATTTACAATTTAAAATCTTGGTGAATTATACTTTGAATGCTTTTCTTGTATCTTGTAACTAACATTAAAGACTCATAGCTTGAGTTTGGAACACAGAGATATTTGCCCAAATCTATTTCTTGTTCCACTAAACTGTACTGTTACCATCTGTTGAGCAAATTTTTATATATATAAATAGTTTAATAATTACCTACTGTTTCAGAGAGTTAACAATAATGATATTTAGCGATTGAGATTATAACTAATTTGAATGATTTAAATTGAAATAGGCTTAAATAAGAACAAACTTCTTATTTTTTTTTAGAAAAAATAACGAGTTTAGTTGAATAAATTTTGTGAGATTTGTATCACAGCAAATATGACTGGGCTCTAATAGGTGTAGAATGGCTTGTATCTTTTGGCTAATTTTTGTCCTTTGTAGGCATCATTGCTTTATTTTAGTTATCATTTGTGTTTGTCTGAAGTCCATACTGCATGTGGTTACTCAATTTGAAATTAGTTTGATGATATTACAAAGCACTTTTCTTTGTCTAGTTATACCAAGTATGAAGATGGTCGCTGCTCTTGATGTGGCCAATCCCATTGATAAAGGACATAACCCAACACAATGATGACTTGTGCGGCACAGAAGCCTTTCACCAGTGGCATAATTGACCACAAGTGGTAAAGCTATAGTTATTGTTATTTATGTTAATGATTTCACTTTTTTTTTCTGCAGCAGCATTTTTTTTATTTATGATTCAAGTATGGAAGGAGTACAATGCCTGTATACATGTAAAATTTATGTATCAGTTTGGTATCAGGTAGTGGCTTTTTTTTCTTTTAACAATAACTATGGCTTTGCCTAAATTCCCTAGCTCTACAGCCAAGGCGGTTTATGATATTACCCCGTAAATGACATGCTAGCTCTTACTGTTTAATATAGAAATTCTTAACATGTATGTAAGATCATTGAATTGTGCACCAAGGTGCCATTTCTAATCTACATGTTTCTTACATACGGAGCTCAATAATATCTTCATTATTTATGCAGTGGATGCTGTGTTCTGTGATATGAACTGCTAAACATAGGCACTGTTCATGTTAACTTTGTTATTAGTGATGCAAATCTGTTCCCTACTGAACTTCAACTATCCTTCTAACGTACCTTTATCTGTGAACTGAATGTCACTAACTGTTATCAGTGGCAAAGCAAAGAACTGAGCAGATATAAATATCTCCCATGGTGTATTCAAAGAAATTATGTTTTTAATAATGCGGATGAAAGAAAATATGGATATGGTTTTAGGACCATTGCCAATACTGCATTTTTAATAGTTATCTTCTAACTACTTATTTGTCTTCAAGACCTGTTTCTAAGTATTTTCATAGGTCAGGGAACATTGAGCCTCGATATTACTTACTAATTGCCTGGATATAATGAATGCTGTTTAAATATCATAATCAAGTTTCATTACTGGCTTAAATATTTGATTGGCCTTGCATTTAATATTAGAAGAATGGTAGCTAAGAAAGCAGCAGAACATTTCAAAAGTTTATACATGATACATAAGGAAATTTAACTAAATATTCTTTGACCAGTTCTAGTTAGACAGGTCTTTGAAGAATACAAGTGTCTTTGTGGTAAATGTAAAGATGTTTACATATTTTTTGCACTCTTTATGACTTTTGATAGTGAAGGAGACTGATTATGCAAATTTCTTCAAGAATGAAGAAATTCAGTAGAAAACATATCAGTAGAACGTTTAAGGCATTCACTGCTGAGCAAATTTGTGTGGTACTTTTACTTGGGTAACTGAGACACTCAATATTTGATAGTTAAGCCTCAAGAACAAAGCCTCATGCTGTGCTTTGTCAGCACAATACTTAAAAAATCTTGAAGTGCACTCCTGGTGTCAAGTTGGCATATTGTTATGATGATTAATATGCCACAAAGGTTATCATGTCCCTAATGCTACAAAAAAAAAATTAAACAAGTGTATCACTTGCGGCAAGGCAGTTCCAGGTATTTGATCAAGGAATATTTGCTGTAATATTATCCTTCATGATAAAACTGCAAATGGGAACATTGCTTTATATGATGGGACCTGCAAACGTGCTATTAATTTCTCAAAAATAATAGGCACGTTCTCTGAGATAGCATTCTAAATAATATATCTTAAGATGATCATTCTTTTGAGATATTTGTCATTTATGAATACTTTACACCTACAAAAGCATACATCATGTGAGCAATGAGAGTATGCTGTTGAGGAAAGTGTCAATGAGAGGAGGTGCGTGTGATGCTAGTGGTGACTCGACAGCTCTCCACGTGGCTTGTTTTAGCTACACCTTCTTTGTATTTGCTGCCTTGGAAATGAAAAATTATAGCAGTGAAAAGTACTTGTTTTATTAATCCCAAAACTAACATTCATAGTGTTGTACAATCATACTGGGAATCTTACACAATTTGCTTTATTCACCCCTCCCTTTCCAGCCCATTGCCATTGTGAAGGGGCTAAGTGGAATGAGTGTTATGCTCCATGGGACAGCATGTCCTCTGACCTTTTGAAGCCTTATGCTCCTGCTGCTGTCTTCAATAATTTTGCTGGATGCTTTTTCATCTTCCTTATGTTTCATTTTTCCTCCCCACCCCTTCTCCTTTCTGATTGTTCCTTCCTGCCAACTTTTTGCCATTCTTGAATATTTTTCCAATGTCTTCTTCTGTTTTGATGCCGGGTGTTTGGGGAGGCGCGCACACACGCCCATAAAACTGTGGTACCTGATGTTGTCAAGCGAGGGGAGGCTTTTATTGTCAAACACTGCCTTCATTGCTGAGCTCGATCTCAATGGACTAATGGTTGTAAAGGTGACGATTGCAGGGTGTATATTCCACTAGATATACAACATCTTGAGATATCTTGAGGTTATCTTGAGATGATTTCGGGGCTTTAGTGTCCCCGCGGCCCGGTCCTAGACCAGGCCTCCACCCCCAGGAAGCAGCCCGTGACAGCTGACTAACTCCCAGGTACCTATTTACTGCTAGGTAACAGGGGCTTTCAGAGTGAAAGAAACTTTGCCCATTTGTTTCTGCTTCGTGCGGGAATCGAACCCGCGCCACAGAATTACGAGTCCTGCGCGCTATCCACCAGGCTACGAGGCCCCTTGCATATAATATGCATATAACCAGACACAATAATAATTCTAGAGAACAATAGAGCACATAGAGGTGTCTAGAGATGAAGTGGAAAAAATGCTCAATGAGCTAAGAGAACAAAGCAATTGGTGCAGATGAGTTTCACTATGGGTTCTTGGAGAATGCGCACTTGAGGTCAGCGTTCCACTTAAACTGATTTTTCAGGCATCCCTGTGTACAATCCTGAGGTGCTGGAACAAGAAACTTTTTGCCCTCTGGTCTTTTGTAGCGCTGATCAATTTGTCCCCCAATTCCTACAGGAACTTCAATGCACATTTTCCCCACGAACCGAGGGTCTTTGAGCCGATCGGAACAAAGCTGTAGCAGTGTGCCAGACCTCTATATTTTATATATATATATATATATATATATATATATATATGTCGTACCTAGTAGCCAGAACGCACTTCTCGGCCTACTATGCAAGGCCCGATTTGCCTAATAAGCCAAGTTTTCCTGAATTAATAAATTTTCTCCAATTTTTTTCTTATGGAATGATAAAGCTACCCATTTCATTATGTATGAGGTAATTTTTTTTTATTGAAGTTAAAAATTAACGTTGATATATGACCGAGCGGACAGCACGCTGGACTTGTGATCCTGTGGTCCCGGGGTCGATCCCGGGCGCCGACGAGAAACAATGGGCAGAGTTTCTTTCACCCTATGCCCCTGTTACCTAGCAGTAAATAGGTACCTGGGTGTTAGTCACCTGTCACGGGCTGCTTCCTGGGGGTGGAGGCCTGGTCAAGGACCGGGCCGCGGGGACACTAAAGCCCCGAAATCATCTCAAGATATATATAATATATCTTATAATACATATATATAATGTATATAATCAAAAATAATAAAATAGCCTGAAATAACAACATAACATGTGTGGAAGCATATATATATATAATATATATATATATTATATATATTATATATATAATAAAAAATAATAAAATAAATAGCCTGAAACAACATAACATGTGTGGAAGCATTTGAGTGTGTATATATGAATGCTACACAGTATTCAACTAGAGACTTCGATATATGCTGAAATACATGTGAAGAACCTCTCACACACTCACGTAACAAGAAAGTTACTCCCTAATAAGAGAGAGCCAGCTTAGCTTAGCTGCCAATACCCACACATCGTGTCAGCAAGGCGGACAGCCCGCCTGCTTTCATACCTCTCACTGTATTTCCCACTTCTATACTTCCCTTCACTTGTGCCTCTCCATCCTCTTTACCCTTCCCCTCCCCCTAAAAAAAAAAAAAAAAAAAAAAAAACTACGGCTGCCTTGAGGACCCAAGCCCTTGACCCTTCTATCTGGTCTCTCAAGCTTCAGCTCTACCTCACTACTACATTAGACTGCCATCCCATGCTACTAGACTATACTCTCAACCGTAGCGACATGAGAACTTGTGTCTTCCATGACTGTGTTGTGGCCTGGAGCCAGACGCGTGGGGTTCAGTAAGTCACTTCCTCCGGATCTGCTGACTAAACCATCTTGCACGTGTGGTTTTGTTTCGCCGGTTTTTATCAGTTCAATATAAAAATTAACTTTGTATTTTTAAAAATCTCAAGAATACTCGCTTGCACAAAACATTCTTTGCACAGCAGGATTTGTCTTTGGAAATAGACCGAAAATTAAGAAAATAATCGATACTCTCCAAAGTCTCTTCGAAGTAGATAGGTTATAATCGCTCAGTTACTACTTACAGTTAGCAAGCTGGGGATATTTGGCTAAGATTTCTGGCAGCAGATAAATTTGAATGAAATATTTACACATTTCTTAAACATTTGTTATAAAATTGTCTCTGAATTCACGTATTTGTTCGCACTCCATCACACAATGACGGAGGGTGTGCGAATAATTTTGTTGACAGTTTACATTTGGTCAGGTCTACATCAGCAGATAATGAAAATTCCCAGAGATACTTGTTACCGAGTCTAAGCCGAGCAGCAGTAACATCTAGAAGTCTGCTGATTTTATTGGATGATCCATAGATGTGTGGCTCTTCTGGCATGATAATATGATGATAGATGGATATCTGGTGTCGATTTCACTTTGCCTCAGATCTACGAGATTTTGTTGAAGTTCTTGGTGTACTATTGCTCTCGGACTGCTTATTGACAATCCAAGATTATTCTCGATTTCTCCTTTAAAGGCAGATTCTTTGGCTAGCTAATCAGCTCTATCATGCATTCGGAGGCCAACATGAGATGGAATCTACATGAAATGGATTGTTACATTCATTAATAATTTTGTTGTATTTGTGTCTAGCTTCAGACACGAACATGTTACAGTTATGTCTTAAAGAATTGAAAACAGTTAAGGATGATAAAGTGTCCCTTACAATTAATATATCAAGTTTTGAGACTTTTATACATGTGCAAGAAGCAAGGCAAATAGTTCAGTCTGAAGGGTAGAGGCCCAATTGTTTATACGGACTTCCCACTCGAAATATAAGCCATAACCCATTGTCAGGACAACTGCACTTCCAGCTGCACCCGTGAGGCGGTGTAGGGAACCATCACTGTATATGATTTGAGAGATAATGCTCTGTGGACAGAGCATCAACATGGCTTAAGGCGTTGAGCTTTACCTCAGGACGAAGCTTGGGCTGCTCTCTAATTTGCTTCTTGGGTGGAAAGTGAGGGATTAAAATTGGAAAGGGTGTAATCTCCTACGGTGCAGGAAAGCACAACCAACTCATCAGTATCAAGACTCCGAGCACAACCAACTCATCACCCAGTGTCAAGACTCCGAGCACAACCAACTTATCAATGTCAAGACTCCAAGCACAACCAACTCATCAGTGTCAAGACTCGGAGCACAACCAACTCATCAGTGTCAAGATTCCGAGCACAACCAACTCATCAGTGTCATGAGGAGGCAACAACCACCTTTTCTATTCGAAACCCAAAATTTATTTTAGCATTTTATGAAACATAATCTTCAGCTACTTACCAATAAGTACGATTTTCACAATTGTTAATTTATAACATATTTCAATCGATATATTCACAGAAACTATCAAATAATTTCAAACACAGACACCTTTACTCAAAACAATTACTCAAACACACGAACAAAAAAAATACGCCGTGACATTAAAATACGAGCACATAAACATATCCTCAAATCAATACATAGGGAGACAAACACGTTCTCAAATCAACACATTCCCTCAACAAACACTTGGTCAATTAACACACAAATAGACAATCCTCCTAAATCATTACATACCATCTCAATTCCCCGCTCATCTTTACAAGTCATCATTCAAGAACCATGTAAAGTCGTCTCTTTCAAACGAACGTTAAAACTTTATAAATTGCAAAGTCTGTCTTTTTTATTCGTAATATATTACTTAAGGCCATCATTTAAACTATTATAGTACCTGTTTGTTATATAATTGTCAAAATAGTTCGTCTTCTGTCTCGGTGTTTCACGTGCAATTGGACAAACGCAAACAAAGACATGACAAACACAAATCACAATCACAAAACATTTACAAACGTAATATCCTGCTTGGGGACTTCAACCTACGGCACCTGAAATGGAAGCACCTGGCTAATACAGTAATATTTTGTTGTATCATAAAAGAAGAAATACTCTAAGAAAAAAGAGGAAGAGATGCAGATTGGAACGGGAACGTCGTTCCCTATATAGGCGAAGAAAACGAATCGCGGAACAACTTGAGAGTCGCACCCTATCTCAAGAACGGCGAAGAAGGTTAGGTAGAGAAATAGAAACAATTGAACGGAAGCTACAAGAATCATACAAAACCCAGGAGAGGCAAAGAGAGCAAAAGGCCATCAGTGAAATAGAAAGAAATCCGAAATATTTTTCTCCTATGCAAAATCAAGATAAAAAACCACATCTAGTATCGGGCCCCTGCGAAAGGGAGATGGAACTTTCACCGATGACAACAAAGAAATGAGCGAGCTACTGAGGACGCAGTTAAAAACCACTATCGCAGGCCCTCCACATTCTGTGGAGACAAAGCCTAGATACTGGCGTTATTCCTGATATACTAAAAACAGCAGAAATAGCACCACATAAAGGAGGAAATAAGGCAGAGGCAAAAAATTACAGACCGATAGCGCTAACATCGCACATCATAAAAATTTTTGAGAGAGTGCTAAGAAGTAAAATCACAAATACATGGAATCACAGCAACTCCATAACCCCGGACAACATGGTTTCAG